GACTCTGACACACTCAACGGAATTCTTGCCCCTCTCCCAGCCTCCAGAACCCAGCCTTAGCATTTTTCCGTTAAGAGATTTTTGTATCAAAAATCGGTCAAGATTTGCCACGTCCTTTGAAAAATTTCAGAGGGCAGACACAGTTCTCAAATGCTGAGGAATGTAGATGAGGCATACTTATTTAATTTACAAAAATCCCTCTTTCACTTTACACATGTCATATAAATGGCAAATGGATGTATAAGTGTGTACATCATATAAGGGGTATTTGTCCCATGTGATTCTCTTTTTAAGAATATATGCGCACACTGTGTATATACATATGTATGTGTGTGTGTATATATATAAAAATATTTATAACATATTTATAAAGATGCTGCCTACTCCCAGTTTAGAGCTAATCTTTCTTTCCAGGAGTCGGTGTCTATTCAGTGCGGTTATTTGTGAAGCACATATGAAAGTGGTCGAGGATCTGCATTTTGGTGTTGCCTTTGCATTGGCTTCAATTTTGGGTCTTTTTTAGCCCCTCTGTCCACCCTGCTGTCTTGGTAATCTTGGTGTCCAGCCCCATTGCTCGTAGCTGCTCCATTTCGTCCTTGGCTGTGATGGACTAGCTCATCACCGTGAGACAGTGGCTTGTTTTTGTTTCGTTGCTGATAGCTATGTGGCAATACTGAGGACACGTGCCAGTTCAGTTTGGCATACTGAGTTTGGACAGGAAGCTGTTTAAATAAAATCAGATATGATATGGGGGTTCTTCTTACGCCTCACAGTATGCACTACTGACCTAATTGGGTGATGTTTTCCTTTTGAAATGAAACTTAAAAGGCATGTAGACACGATTTAAGAAAAAAAAATTTTTCATTCAAAGTCTGAACTTCAAGTTTTAGGAATTAGAGGGTGTAGACTCTTGTTTTTGTAATTTATCCAGTAGCTCAAACATCTAAGGGTAATTCCAGTTCTAAGCCGTGGTGGCATTACTGATCTTTAAAATAAAATTACCGTTAAAATAAAATTACAAAAATAAGGTCATGTAGAAAAATTGTCGTACGTGTTCTACTTATCCCCTTTCACTCTATCCTTTGTTAATCCCCTACCTCATAGGTTACATCTGCAGAGTACAAGCCAACACCCAGTAGTTTAGTGTGAAAGCTCTTTTCTCTAATTTCAGCTGCCACTGGAATGTTGTTCTCAGCAAATTTCTTACTGACTGACTTTCTTCATCTTTAGTCACTTATTTTGTGATATAACTGGTAGGTCTAAGAAGTCAGTCTACAAATATTTATTGATATTGGTCACAATTGATGGTTTAGGGGAATTATAACGGAAACAAGGTACAGCTATTTTGTTGCAATAGGTTCTGATGAAATGGATTTAACTTCTTGTATATATATTCAGCTACATTGTATCAGCCAGTGATGTTACTGCGTAACAACCCCCCCCCCCAAACTCATTAGCTTTAACAACAATCATTTATTATTATAGTTCACACATCTGTGCCCTGGCTGGAGATTAGCTGATTCAGGTGGGGGACAGCTGAGTGATTTTGCTGTATTCAGCTAGATTCACTGACATGTCTAAGGCCTGCTGAGAGCTGGCTGATCTTAGCCAGGTTCATTTGGGGTAGCTCTTATGTGTCTGTCATCCTTCTGCTGGGATCAGTAGATTGTCCTGGCACATCCTCCTCATGTGCTGGCAAAAGTACAAGTGTGTAAATCCAGTCATGCAAGCACATTTCAGGACTCTTCTTATGTTAGGAAACTAAGATCCCATCGGCCAAAGCAAGTCATGTGACCAGTCTGAGGATGGGGAGTAGTCTGCCATAGGAGGGCACTGCAAAATTACATGGTAAAGGACATGGATTGAGGGAGGAGTGAAGAACTGGAGCCACAATGTCATTTATTACATATGTTAAGGTACTCATTGACTCTTGTTGAGTCAGGGGACGCTGGATGGGCCCCTTGAACCCCTGCGGCTTCTATCTAATAATTACCGTCATAAGGCATAAAGTAGAGCAGGCAGAAGCAGGCCATGTCCACGTGTGATCACCCAGGGACAGTATATTCCCAGTACAGGAAATTTAGAGATAGTATAACATTTAGAGAAAAAGAAAGTCACACATGTTCTGAATTATTCCCCTGAGATAGTTGCACTATTTTGGCATATTTCTTTTCAGTCTTTTTTTCTATCACTTTCTTCATTATTAGTATATAGATTTATATCCAGGTTTTTTTCTTAATATTCTATTGTAAATCTTTGCCTTGTTATTAAAAAGTCTTTGTACGTGTAACATTACTGGCTGCCGAAATATCCCATTGTATTGATGTACCAAAATTCACTAACCTTTCCCTTGCTCTTTAATGTTTTGGTTGTTTCAGTGTTTTGTGATTATACATAATGCCTCAGTGAGCATATTTGTGCAAAAATCTTTATCCACATGTTTAGCCGTTTCCTTAATGGAAAGAATTCTGGTCAGGAGTGCAAAGATCTGGGTTCTGTTACTAAATTGCTGTGTGATTTAGACCTGCGTGTCAGTTTCCTATCTATAAAATAATATATTTGAGCTTGATGGCCTTAAACTTCTTTCTAACTCAAAAAACATCTTTCAAGATAGAGTAATAAGTTGCTGTATTGAAGTGGAAGCGTGAAGGCACCACCAGTTGTCTGTCCTCAGAAAAGCTTGGGAGGAGAGGCAGCTTCCGTCGGCTTCTCATTGGAGGAGTTTGTTGTCTTTGAGAGAGCAAGTTTTGTTTCACAGTTCAAGCATCATCATTTGCCCTTCAGTCTCCATCCCGGCTATAGCAATGATTATATATGTATAGAATTTTTAAGTAGAGGTGTAGGACACTGAACATTAAGACTATAATCTATCTTGACCTATTTTATGAATGTGTGTGCTTTGAGAAAGGCTTAGGTAGACTGGAAGAACTGATTTCACTTTGTATTTGCTTTTTGTATTTGTTTTTGCCGTTTCTTTTGTTTGCCTTGTGGATTAAGTTTCGTCACCATAATCAGAACTGCATGGACAGCGGGTCGGGCCTGATCTCACAATTTCCTGGTAATTACATGTGACCTTTTTCTCAGGGGTGCCGCCTTCTTGTTAATTTTAATATATACCTGGGCTGTATTTCATCTTACTCTCTCTCTTCCAGCCTCTGCCAGGGTAAATATTGCTCAATGTGGACAGGCTGTAAGTGTTGACTGCAGAAAGCAGAGGCATCAGCATATCATTGCTGAAGGGAGAAAGTGTGATCTGTGCGCTGTCTGTCTCTCCAGCCCTTCCTCAAATCTGTCCTGAGGGTGTCTTCCTCACATGTGATAGAGCCTTCTAGTTCCTAAGCTCCTTTGGGGAGAGGTTCTAGAATCTTCTTTTGGCTCCTCATGCAGTTGCTTCCCTAACCTGAGCCAGGCGCCCATCTGGCCAGCAGAGGTCTGTGTCAGGTACAGTGTGGTCTCCCTCCTCTGGCCGCCATCAAAAGCCCCTTTGTTTTCTCCCTTCCCCCTCGGCCAGGAGGTGGCACTCACCCCGAGAGAGATGGAAATCCCCCAGCACACCACAGCACCGAGCAGCTCTCCAGAACCACCTCTGAAAGCAAAACATCTTCGACCAACAGAAGTCTTGCGCATCTTTACTTTACCTCAGGAAATAAATTGGGGCTCTGATAATTAATCATCAATTATAAGTTGGATTTAGGGAGAAAATAATTTTCTTTGTGAATGTGAATCTAACTTTTTCTTGTGATTGAAGGAAGTTGCTTATGAAATACCATTTTAATAATTGCGAACTTCAGTTTTTAGCTTCTGTGCCCGCTCTCCCCCGAACCTTAGCAGTTGTGAATGATTTTTATCTACCTTTTCGTAAGGAAACTTGAGTCTAATTCTTGAGTGTAATGTGAATGACTTTGCTTGCCTGTACAGTAATGGTTCACTAAGCATGTGGTGTGTGTGTTTAAGTGTTTTTATAAAGCAAGGAGCATATCTTTGCTTTATTTTAGCCTCATTTTAGTAAAACTGGGATCAGGTAAGGAATACTGACTTTGGGAATCTCTGACTTGTTTTTTTCTTATCCTATACTTGTTTGCAACCTCCTTGTCTTTTCCTTTCCTACCCTCCTCCCCCCTTCTCCAGGGCTGTGCTGAGGCACTGGCTCTGAAGTAACTTGGTAAGAATCACATGGTACTGCGTAGGCTCCTAGAAGAATGTGTGTTAAATGATAGTGGTGCTTCTGTCTGTTCTGTCTTGTTGCTTCATTGCCATCCCCAGGCCTTGTGATAATCATGAAAGCCAGTGGCAAGGCAAGACCCAGGCTTGCTAAGATCCATTCCTTTTCTCTGCATGAGTATTTAGTCCATTTCAGCAAGGGACCGATGTTTGTTACAAACTCTGAAGTTTCCCAGAGGGCTAAGTAAAGTTCTAGAAGTCTAGATCAGGTTTAAGGCATAAGTGGGGTCATAGGGAAACAGAAGAGCACAAAAGGCAGAGAGTGAGAAGAAAAAAGCCAAGAAAACAAACAACTTTCCGACAGTGAGAAGGATAGAGACCTCGTTTCCATCATCTCTGGTCCTCTCTCCTGAGACCTGGTTGCTAACCATTCACTTCTTATTTTTAAATGTGCTTACTTATTTTTGAATAGATAATACATTCGCTTGGTTTGAAAACCAAAAAGTATAGAACATTACACATTGGAATTCTCCCTCCTATCCTGTTCCCCATCCACCAAGTCTCCTCCTGCTTGGCTCAGGAAGTCAACTTTTCTCTTTCGTATGATCCCTCTTTAGGCACACTTACACTCAAGCAAATACTAATGTAGACTCTTACTTTGCCATTCATTTCTTTATCAATTGATCTTCTCTCTCACATCCTCACCTTATTTCCTGTTATTCTACTCTCAATGATTCTTTGTTGGAGCTTTCTTTGAGGAGAAAGATCAGTGGTCACTTGTTTTAGTTATGCCTGATGACCCGAACAAATTCACATGTGTGTTTGTCTTTTTCCCATAGATGAAGTGGAAAGTGAGAAATGGTACCTGTCTGCAGACTTCCCATCAACAACCATCAAGACAGAGCCGATTACGGATGAACCACCCCCAGGACTCGTTCCCTCTGTCACTCTGACCATCACAGCCATCTCCACTCCTTTTGAAAAGGAGGAACCTCCTCTGGAAATGAATGCTGGGGTATACTCAATTTTCCATATAAACAGATTGGATCAAAAGATACAGATCCTCATTCTCCAATAAGGCATTTAATCTTTTTAGAGCTAGTGGCTGTCTATGTTTAAGCATATATGACTATGTATGTACGCATGTATGTATCAAGGATATATTGATTTGGTGTCAGCATTAATTATCTACTTCCTTTAAAGGCATTGCCTAGAAAAACTGGTGGCAAGTCTGATTTTATTTTTTCTATGATTTCTATTACAAAATAAAACAGATAAATATCCATGGTAAAAAAAAAATTTTCTGTAGGACTGATTTTAAGCCTGTGGCAAGGGAGTGGTTAAGATGATGCAATCCATGGCTTACAGGGCTATGGCTTTCGGGAATGCCAGTTCCTATGTTGCATTTTACTTTCCTAAGGCAATGCTGAGTTGCCCTGACCCAATACAGGGGTCTCCCACCTACTTGTTCTTATTGTATTACCTGTAGAGAACATAAGAAATTGGAATTTCTTCCTTGCTTGATTGAATCATCCTTGTACATCTTACAGATGTTGGAAGCCAGTCCTAACTTTCCTTAAGTTCAAAGCCTCAGGTTATTAACAATGACTCCCCTGACATTCTTCAAGTCAGGTCTCCTCTGAGCAAGGGGGAGTAGTCTGCCTGGACAAGGTACCTCAGGCGCAATAGAGCCCCGAAGCGTAGCTGCATATCCATTCTTAGTGCTCCTACACGCTATCTGTGTGGGAGATGAAGCCTTGCAGGATGAACGCCTCTGCAACTGCCCTCTGTCACTCCTTTCTCAGTAGCTACCTGAGTCCCTTTATTGGACTGGGCTTCTAGAGTATGTGTTAGTCTCCTTGCTGGACATGATTTTAGTTCAATTGATTTTTTTAGGTTTTTTTTTTTGAGAAAGATTAGCTCTGAGCTAACATCTGTGCCCATCTTCCTCTACTTCATATGTGGAATGCCTGCCACAGCATGGCTTGACAAGCGGTACCACGTCCGCACCCGGGATCTGAACCGGCGAACCCTGGGCCATTCAAGCAGAATGTGTGACCTTAAACACTGCGCCACTGGGCTGGCCCCTAGTTCAATTGATTTTTAAGTATGTAACTCAGAAAGGTTAGGTTATGGTCTTGCTTCCTGTGCTTGGGCCAGATGCCTTTTCTCCTTTCTCTACTGAGTATTTCATGGTTAGATGTTGTCAGTTATCAGAAATCCTAGAGAGAATGGATGGGCTTGGCTCACGTAGTTCCTACTGCAGGATAAACTGGTGGAGGCCTGTGGTCCTTTAAAAACTTACCAGACTATTTCATGATAAAATACCTCCATATTACATTAAAAACAGTAGAAAAAAGCACTGATATGTGAGCTCTGGGTTTTTAATTTTAGAATTGTGAGGGTTCCATCAACGGTAATGCCAGGTTTGGCAGTGAGAGAAAGGTTAAGAACTAAAACTCCTCCTTGTCAAAGAAGCAGCTTGTTCTCAGGGGCCTCAGCCGGCTCCCGAGAAATGAGGCTGCCCTGAGAAGGGGACACAGATGACAGATAGCTCCCCTGTGTGTTTCTTCAGGGTTGTTATTGGTTTTTAAAATCTGTGTTTGAAATCCTTCCTTTAGGTTGACTCCTCGTGCCAGACCATAATTCCAAAGATTAAGCTGGAGCCTCATGAAGTGGATCAGTTCCTAAACTTGTCTCCTAAAGAAGGTCTGTGTGCCCTCCCTCCTTTCCTTCGGGTTACGAGGTGTCGGGGCAGCGTCTAAAGAGAAAGGGAATGTGGGAGAATGTGCTGGGGTTCGTTCGTACCACAGGCACAGCTTGCTTTATGAAAGAGCTCTCTTCTGAAAAATCTTGATTCTAAATACAAATTTCGAAAGCTAAATTTTATTTACCCATCTATGTACATGCTTAATTTCCAGCTGAAGCTTTTACTTTACTTTTACTCCTGGCCAGGATGATTTTTCAAACCTTTGTAGGCTGCTGTGAGACTTGGGTGCTGGCGCTCAAGAGCGCTACTGCTCTGAGGCCACGCTGGTGAACCTGTGAATAGAACCCAGCTCCCTGCACTGGAGTGAGGACCAGGAGAAGCGAGGAAACAGACTCCATGAAGGCACCTTGCCTGTTTAAAACAACTCTAGTTGAAACCCTTTGTAAAGTGAATTCACAGTTTCTCTCTCTGATCCGTTCAGTGTTTTTAAACGTTGATCTTGGATGACAATAGTTGCAAGGAGCCTCCTACCTATTTGTAATGTTCATGTATCTCATGGGCTTCTTGCCATCCATTTAGAACTAAATAATGTCATACTTGAAGTTGTCATGCTTTCCCTTTGTTTTCTTCTCTATGTCGGTTTCTTTCTGACTTCTCCCTTTTGTTCTCATGTGAAGCTCATTGTCAGGACTTCTGAACACAGACCCCTAAGTCTCGTGGAAGGTAGAGAAGCTGTTTGCCTTGTTGGCTCAGATCCTCTGCATGGGCCGTGCTCTTCTTCATTCTGTGCCTTTGGTCATGCCATCACCCCCCTTTGTATTTATATTTTCAGTCCAAGTTTAGCAGGACAGTTTATTCGTGTGGTCAACAAATAAGAAATCTGTATTTGTCTTTGTCATAGAAAAGCTATGTGTGCTGTGGTGTGTACTTAACGTGTTGATGTCACACACGAGCAGTTCTCATGGAAGCCTAGTCTACCTTCATTCCACTAGAAGCTAAGTCAGGATTTGATTTGTGAGAATTTAATCAGGGTTGGCATTTGCCTTTATTATCAGTAAAGAAAGGATTAAATTTAAAAAATTAATAATATGACTAGAATCCATATTGAGATATTTCTTTGCACTGAGTGACATGTATTATTAGTTCCTTTCAGCTTTATATACTAAATATTACTAATTTATATATTACTTGCTTTCAAGTAATTCCTTTTGTTTTTATGACACCTGTTACTGCTATCGCTATGGAATACACTTGCTCTTTTAATTTATGTTGCAATATGTTTCAGAAAGTGTCATAAGTGTAACAGCAAATCCCATCGTGGCTTCAGAATCTGGGATCGCTGGAGGAGAAATGTTTCAAGAGTAAAGTGAATGGCGGTCCTTTCTCATTATCCTAGACAAACAGAGATTAGGAAATTCAATCCCCTTGATACCTCAGGGCTTCTAGGCAAAGGACCTCGTTGTCCCCAGCCCTTTCAGTAACCTAAGAGTGGCATTTCACATGATATTTAGAAATCTGATACTGAGGCACCTGTGGCCAGGTCAGTAGCTCTTGATAGATGGGAAAGAGGAGATTCAAGTTTGCTTCGTGTTTCCTGTCATACATTTCTATTTTTTGTGGGACACCCTCTGCCTAGAAAGGAGAAAAGTATTATTTGGCTGGTGCCAAGTGAAAGGGACAGGTAGGCTCTGGGTAGGTCATCTTGGCTTGTTCTCCTGAATGTTCCAGCACAGCGTGCAGACAACGGGAGCCCCTAACAGGTTAGTCAGCTCCCGGTGTTGTTTTTCTTTTAACCATTGTTAAAAGATAAACAGAGGTGTGTTATAAATTTTGAGTTTATTTGAGCAAAAAGCAATTCGAATCCAGCAGTGCCAAACTGGAAGTGGTAGGGAGTGCCCCACCAACAGAAGCTCCGAGGGACTTTTATAGAGTAGAGGCGGAAGCAAAGTAGGGGAATGATTGTTGGCTGTGGCTTACAGCCCAGGTGGCTGTCTGTGATTGGTTGTCCTTAGGTTTTGATTTCATAACCTTGAGGCATTTACAGGCTTAGATTTTGGTTTGCTTACGTAGGCTGCCACAGCATTAAGGCCACCTCAGTCTAATTGCCTCCTTGTTTAATTTATTTAACACTATAAGGTGCCATAGGTATTTGTGCCGTTGCGAAAACCTTGGTTAGCCCTCTCAGGACTCCTTTCTAGCCAAGCACAGATTTAAGGCGCCCGCTTACCCTGCTCAGCTGCCTGGAACTGTTGGCAATAGAGGTATGTAGGATTGTTTTAGAATATTCTTTAGCTCTCAGTGCTCACAGACACTAAAACATCCAGGTAGCTCTTTGGCAGAGAACAAGGAAAACGTCTAGCAAAAAGTAATATGTTAGAAAAAGAGTAAGAGGAAGGTTACAGTGAGAGAGAGAGAGAGAGAAGAGAGAAAGAAGGGGGAAAAAAGTGTTCTGTGAATGGTGGGGGTGGCTGAGAGGGACATCACCTGTTGTTACCTCGGATATTCAGGTATTTTAGAAGGAGTGAGAGCTACTTTGTTGCTTGTCACCTCCAAAGGCAGCTCTGGATCGGGCCATTTTTCTTAGGTTGGTCATTGTGCCTTAGAAAGGCCTTGCCATCAACGGTACGTCAGGCAGTCTCTGATGAAGAGAAGAGGAATAGGCTGAGGCCCTTCCGTGGCCCCAGGCAGTTCTCTAGCCAGACAAGCCCAGGGGTGTGGGAGGCACCCAGGCACCATGCCCAGTTCAGAGCTGTTGTGCTAAGGGCTCCGTTGTCCTGGGGGCCCTGGGAGAGGTGTAGTCATGAAAGGCTTGCCCAAGATTATGTCCCTTGGCTTAGTAACTGTGGCTGGCTCTCAAGGTATTTCAGAAGAATGAGACCCCAGAACTCTTTTTATCAGGTTGAACTCAGAGTGGATTCTTCCTCCAGGAGCCCATTCCTGCTGCCCTGGAAAGGGACGCCCACTGCAGCTCGCGGGCCCAGGCAACCAGTGTGTGCCTCCCCAAGGAGAGGCGAGGGATGGACTTTTAGATGCTGAGAGACTTTGCAGGAGAAAGCCTCACTGCTCCTTTTATTTCCCAGTGCCTATTTATCTATCTACAAATGGATTTCATATTTTCTACATGAAGAATGCCTGGCATCTTGCCTGCGGTCCTACCATGCACATTCCTCTAGAAATAAATGAACTATTCTCAAACCCTCATGGGCTCCCAGGTTTCGCGATTCTTTTTTTAAAGATCATCATATTAACATGGTTTACCACTCAAACAATAGAAGCTACACAAAATGAATACAGTGAAAAGTTATGCCAACACAGTCCCTATCTACCCTAATTTCCCCCTGCCCCCATCAGGTCATAATTTTATCAGTTTCTTATCTATTTTCCAGTGTTTCTTTACGCCGATACAAACAAATAGGAGTCTGTATTCTCTTTCTCTCCTTTTTCATACAAAAGGAGGGCTCCATTATACACTGTTCTGCACCTTGATTTATTTTAACCCGCTCCCGACCATACATCTTGGACATCTTTCCACATCGGCACATGGAGATTCCTTATTCTTTTGTTCAGCTGTCCCGGGTTCCTCTGTAAGGATGTGCAGTTGTTTATCCACCCCCCCCCCACCCCCCCGAGTCCTGCTTTGTTGCTGTCTGATGGATGAAATCTGTTTTCTTCTTTCAGCCTCCGTGGACCACCTGCACTTACCGCCCACCCCACCCAGCAGCCACAGCAGTGACTCAGAGGGCAGCCTGAGCCCCAACCCACGCCTGCACCCCTTCGGCCTGCCCCAGACCCACAGCCCGGCCAGAGCCGTGGCCCGGGCCCCGTCGGCCCTCTCCAGTTCTCCTCTCCTCACAGCGCCTCATGTGAGTATTCGATCTGCGTCTCTGGGCCTGAGCCCCTTCCTTCTGTCACTCAGAGCTTCGCCCACAGTGGGTGCCATTCAGGGCCACTTGATTTTCATTCTTATCAGAAAGTTTATGTTTAACTGCCAAAGCAGGTGATAATCTTAAAAGAACATTTTTTACGAGCTGCCCATAATCTCACAATGCTAACACAATTCTCTTCCTGTGCACACTTCCAGTTTTTATTCATACGTTTATTTTATGTAGCTATAAGCATGAGGAATAAAAACGTGTTGTTTTTCTCCTCAAAGTTATATCACAAATATTTACCATCAATCTAGGTGGTCCTTATGACCTACAATAGGAAATAACTTATTTTTTAAATAAGCAGTCTTTCATGAGTTTGGAAATCTCTCTGAGATTAGACGCTTTGATGTCTAAATCTCAAAAATACAATTTAACCCTCTTTTGTCTGTGGGTCAGCTCTTAACCTAGCGACTCAGGTGTAGAAATCATGAGTTGTCATTCATCCCTCACGAATATAAGGACACCATTTTCCAAATAAAAAATAGGGATAGATAATTAACTTCTTATTGTTCTGAAGAGTTCATTGATTTCTTTCAAGATTTAAAAATTATAGTCAACCTTATTGAATTTATAATATCACGTAGAGCAAATTTAAATGAAATGAGATATTTAAAAATTCTATGAGAACCATCTATTGATGAACATAATTTTGAAAATTTGAATTCAATCTGCCTCAGAAAGTTCTAGATTTGTGGCCACATTTTTATGTATCACTATTACTGAAGTCAAGGCAGTTAACTCTTTCCATCTCTATCTCTACCTTCTCGGCTCTAACCGGACACTTCACTCCTTCGATTACTGGAATAGTGTTCATCCTGTGTATCTGTGTGTCCTCCCACAATCAGTCTGTTCTACGTGTTCATGGAGGAAATCCCCCCATATCATCCTCTTGCTCAGCAACCATGTTGTGTTTCCCTGTTAACTACTGGTGTCAAGCCCTAATACCTCTGCTTGGTACCAAGGGCCCCCCCATGTGTGCCCCAACCCGCTGCTGCTTCAAGGACTTCTTGCCCACGGTAGGCAGAGCGGCTGCTTCAGTTACTCTTCAAAATACTGGCTTTTGCATGGAAGGCCCTCCTCTCTCTACGTAAATCATCCCCTTTCTTTCAGGAGGCCCAATTCAAGTCTTACCTCCTACCCTAATCCTTCCCTTAATCACATAAATTCAAGTGTTCTCTTTCTCCAAATTTTTAATGTGCCCTGAGTTAATATTACGGTGTAGCGTTTAATTGCTCTCATCCTTTCTCATGTATCGATTCAGTCTCAATCTTGATCATTAGCTGCTTGCGAGGTGGAATTTGTTTTCAGTCTTCCACGGCATTTAACGTGGAGCTAATATGCAACAGGTATGAAATTTGTTTGACTAATTATAGACACGTCATTCTAATTTGAGTTAAATGAGATGAGCTACACTTCTCATCCTTGCTGATGATGGACAGTCTGTGACCGTATTGACCAGCGACTTTCATGGAAAGTGCCCATAGGTGTATCCCTGAGAGCCCTGGCTCCTTAGCTGTAAGTGGAGGATAAGGAGTGACCCCTCGTGTGTAGAGAGCATCTTACAAAATTGTTTTTTCAAGAGAACAACCAAACTCTTTCCCACAAACAGAGCTCCAAGTAAATCCTTCATCACTTCAAGGCCAGGAAATCTCTAGGGATGTGGGAAATGAATTCTGTCCTTTAATTTTGACCTTTCAGCTAGAGGGGTACTTTCTGGGAAGTCATGGGTGGATATTTCTTTACCTTTTCCCTTGAATTATAAATCTTGGGTTATAGCAGTCACATGAGAGTGTCTTCTCCATCTTTGCTTCCACTGTAAAGTACCTATTTACCACCAAAAGCAGATGGGCATCCTTTTCTCTCAGCCGTTTGCAAGGTATTATAACAGACTCTCCTCACCCCCAGGAGGAGATTCCTCAGTGTCCTGGGTGTTTTTCTCTGACCCTCTTCTGCTTCTTGGTCTGCATAGAAACTGCAGGGATCAGGCCCACTGGTCCTGACAGAGGAGGAGAAGAGGACCCTGATTGCTGAGGGCTATCCCATCCCCACCAAATTGCCCCTGACAAAATCAGAGGAGAAGGCGCTGAAGAAAATCCGGAGGAAAATCAAGAATAAGGTGAGCCCTTCAAATCTAGGCACTTCTGTGAGCAGAGACAGGGAGCAGAACCAAGCCCACATGCTCTCCCTCCCTTCCCAATGGCCAACACTGGCCCAGCCCATGGTGGGGACCAAGGCTTGCCCCTGTCTTCCTCCAACCCCTCCATCCATCCTCTAGGCCAGTGGACTCCCAAATCGGGTGTGCACCCTCCTTAGTGCCCAAGACGATCCATTCAGGGATGGGAGGAAAATATTAGAACTTCCATTTACATTTATTTTTTTGTTGCAACCTTTTAAATTTCTGTTTTATGATGTGCACTGTATTTCCTTCTAATTGGCATGTATATAATTTGTAAATAAATATAAATACATTGCAGGTGTTTGCTTAACTTTTTTTTCTTGATAGAGGTTTGATTAAAAAGATTCTGCAGACCACCCTTCTATACCTGGGTCCAGCAGTCTCCTGGTTCTAGTCCCCTACAGTGTGAATCAGGGCTGGTGAGGCCCAGGGCCAAGCCTAAGGCATGTGTAGAGCAGGAGGGAGGAAGCAAAGAGAGGAAGAAGGAATGAGTTTAGTTATAACTTTCATCCATGTGCAGAACCAGTAGGGAGTTTGTATATGGCCAAGCCCATCTGTCTTCTTTTATATTTTATAGTCGAACCACCGGAGGTCCATGGAGTTGAAATCATTTAAGACCATAAGATGGTTTATGACCCACGTATTCTGTTCTGACCACTAGGGCCTAGTTTGTTGGAAAGTAGGTGAGAGCATAGGTTGGTTGAAACCAGAGAGGAGAGAAGTGATTAACAGATGAACCAGCAGGTTAAATAAATGAGGAGTGGCCACAAAAGTGAGCAAGACTTTGCTGATTTCTGTGGTAATGGCCTCCGTGTCTTGCATTTATGCATAATCGGTTTACTGATATAGCTGGAACTTAATCCTTTTTTCTCCTTTTATATCTCAGATTTCTGCCCAGGAAAGTAGGAGAAAGAAGAAAGAATACATGGACAGCTTGGAGAAAAAGTAAGCCTTCTGCCAAACTGGTTGTGTTTATTGGGCGATATACATAGAGAAATGTGTGTGCCGAGCATCTGTTTTCCATGAGAAACCTTCGTTCTGGCTGCCATGAAAGCTGGTTGGTTAATCAGCTATGTTTTGACTGCCCCCTAGTGGTTTTTAGAAGGAAAAGCTTATACGGACGGTGAGAATTAGTACACTCAATCTTAGGATCCTTGAGTCCTTGAGGGCTTCCTTTCAAGCAAGTACAAATATTAACGTTTGGGCACGTTCCTGGAACTCCTCAGAGGAGAGGCACTGTTTGGCCAGAAGGAGCAGTGCTAATTAATCAGTTCCCATTGGCCACATTCCCTCGCTCCTGAGAGTAAGCAGACAGAGAATGAAATAAGTCAGGTGGCATTCTTTATTTCTGTCCAGTATAGCTCATGCTATAGGCGAGTGACTTTTTACAAAAGACACCTGATGGCACCTTCTGTTCTTCTGAAGAGGCTGGAAGGTCAGGAGGGCTGTTAGAAAAATATGAATTCAATTCAATTTTGTATTAGCCCTAGAAATAATTCTCCAGCTAACCAACTAATATCAGTTTCAGACGGGAATGTGGCCCCAGCCCCAGCAATGAGTCTTCTTGTGTCTCTGGGGAAAGGAGTGGTCAGTGGATCCTGGCTGGTTCTTGAAGTTCCTACTGAAAGTTAGTGCTTCTACCTCCTGATTGAGATAGTGGTAATTTAGCGCTAAGTAGTCCTGTTTTGTTCCATCATTTTCTGTAGGGATCCAGGGTCAAGATGTTTCAATGAAGATCTCTTTATTGCCTCGTTGGGGCATGCATGCTCCACCGCCCGGATTGCTTGTCTTGAGGTCCTGGGTTCTTGTCTTCCCCTCTCACCCTATCCAAAACCCCATGGCTTCCTGTCAGTCCTTCTGGCCAAGAGCACAGTTAACGGCACCCAGACTCCTGTAGTGTAGAGGGAGGAGTGTGGTGGGCATTGAGAGCAGTAGGGAAGGGCTGAGAGAAAACAAGGTTGCAACACCCTAAAAGAGTTTATATTGTGTACCATCCCTATCAATTTTCCACTATTGAGGCACTTGCTACTCAAGTCTAATTTTATTTTCTTTTGTTTCCTTTTCCTTCTTGCCAACTCAGGTTGGCCAAGCTCTCTCCCTCACCTCCCTAGAACAACTAACACCCGTCTTCTTTCTCTGATCTCCACCTACCTCCACCCTAGCTGCTGGCTTAGTGTTTGCTCTTCTAATAAAACTACTTTTCTTCTTTCTCTCTCTTCTCTAGGGTGGAGTCTTGTTCAACTGAGAACTTGGAGCTTCGGAAGAAGGTAGAGGTTCTAGAGAACACCAATAGGTAAGTGTCGCTGGAGTGAGGAGCTGATGGCGCTGCCTACTGAAAGGCAGGGAAGACGGGGCAGATCCAGGACCAGAGCCGGAAGGAAGATGGAGATCACGGGACAGCCCTACTCCACCCACCTGTTCCTGCCCCACACCCACAGCATATACACACTCATGCGCATCCACGTTCTTTACTTTCCTAAAAGAAGTAAGATTAATGAAGAGGCTGATCATGGCTATTATAAGCGGGTTAAGGAAGAGGCTTGGAGGAAAATAAAGTCAATATCTTTGGTTCTCCTGAAAAGGACATCAAACTTCAGACATGGACAAGGAGGTACTGGCCACTTCCCTGTCGCCCAATTTGAGTAAGAAATGGTGTTTATTCATGAAAAAAAGAGAAAATCAAGTTTATTCTTTTAAATTACAGTTTTGAAAATTAATTAGCTAATTAATTAATTACATTTCAAACCCATTTTGAAAAATAACTGCAGGACAGAGTGAGTTAATGAGTTCTTCCAGCATGCCCTGTGCCAGGCGCTGTTTTCAGCACTTTAACGTATTAACTCATTTAACCTTCCAACAGCTCTGTGAGGTGGTCCTATTACCATCTCCATCATTCAGAGGGGGTAACCGAGACTCAGCTGGTCAGGTCATCTGCCCACAGTCACACAGTTAATGCTAGAGCTACATTTAGATGCAGACAATCTGGGTCTGGAGCCTCAGTACGGAAGGAGCCTAAGCCAGCCCGGGTGGGGCTAGTGGTTAAGATTCGGTGCTCTCACTCCTGCAGCTCTGGTTCATTTCCCAGTCAGGGAACCACACCACCTGTCCATCAGTTGTCGTACTGTGGTGGCTGCATGTTGCTTTGATGCTGAAAGCTATGCTACTGGGATTTCAAATACCAGCAGAGTCACCCATGGTGGACAAGTTTCATCTTCCAGACTAAGACAGACTAGAAAGAAGGACCTGACCACCCACCTACCCACTTCCCCAAAAAATTGGCCATGAAAACCCTATGAATAGCAGCAGAGCATTGTCTGATAGAATGCTGGAAGGTGAAAGGATGGCACAAAAAGACTGGGCAGGGTTCCACTCTGCTATCCACAACAAGTATTGAGCTTTATCCCTGGGTCATATGCAAGAGAAAAGGGTTAAAGTATAGGGTTAAGAAACTGGAGTTGGGGAGCATTCATCCAGAATGTGTGTGTTTATGTGTATGTGGCACATACCTGTGCTTTGGAAAGTAAGGTGTTTGTGAGTCAGGGGATCCTGTTGCTCTTAGTTGTTATAGATCTGACAATTCAAGCAGGGAAAAGTTGACTTTTAGGTAAGCAAAATATTAATTAATCATTTTAAGGCTTAGCATTAATGCCTAATAACAATTTTGCAAATGTTAATGGATCTAGTTAAATCTATTTGCATGTCTTTTGATAATAACATTACATTTGGCTCCCATTTCCTAAATATTCATGGTTTGTTGCTCAAAGAATAGGCTAATCTAGTCGTGAGTTAAAATTGCCATCAGTGGGAATATTGGACACTGTGGCCCCGCTGAATTTGCCTTTGCGTTTCTGGGAACGTGAGCTCATATAGCAGGTGAAGGGCAGTCTCTTTAAGTGCCCTGTAGACAGACTGCAGAATTAAGTAACTGTTACCAGCTCCATGTGGTATTGCCTTGATCCCCTGAGACAGAGGAGATGGTTTCCAGTACCGCTGTAGGATTCTGGTTTCACGGTCGCCTTTGGCCATTAGTCTCCAGAGGCTTCATCCCTTCTTATCTCCACCTTCACTCCTGCTAGAGTGTTTCTCTGGGTCCTGACCCCCTGCCAGAGTCTGTATCCATCTGTTTAGCATCCTGAGCAGATAGGAGTTCTCACGCCCATCCTAGCACTTGCTGCCGCAGAAGTCCCCTGTTCACAAGTAGGACAAATCCAGGCCATGATTTGGTGAAAAACGGAAGAGGAATCTATCCAAGATAACTGTCGAGTTTGGTCCAGGTTTGGTCTTGTCTAGGGGCTCTGGGTGTCAGGTTTTCCCGCCGCCACATGGGGGCAGCAGAGGTGCAGCACGGGCTCTGCTGGAGAGCAGCGGGCGCTTGGGATGAAGTGTCTCTCCTCCCCTCTCCAGGCCGACAGTGTTGTATCATATTTTTTTAACTTAAAAAAAACCTCCAAAACCCACACATGACCCATTGTAGAAAAAATTAGAAAATATATTTTAAAAAGAAAAAAAAATTGCCATCTTTTCACCTAGAGAGATGCTTACATTTTGGAATATTTTGTATGTATTTATATTGTACATACTGTTTTGTTAAGAAATTTTTCCATTTAACCAAATATACTGGCCATAGTTTCATACCAATAAATGTATTTCTACAGAATCCTTATTTCTATCAGATTTTGGTAAAGAGCTCTCGTCTGAGGGACATTGACATAAGGCACATCTGATTCCATGTGACAACAATCCATTTTTGCCAGTTGTTTTTATCTTTTTAAATAATGGCTGTAGCTATTTTAGTATGATGTTGGTTATTATACCATATGAGGTATGGGAACATATGACATGTTTGAGCTTGGGGTCAGCATAGCTCATGTTCTTCCCTGAGAGTCAGTGACAATCTTCCTTCTCTTCTTTACTGGCTGTGGAACCTTTCTCCCGTCGTGTAGCTGACTAGAACCTCCACTGAAGAAAAGAAGTCTGCCTCACGAGATCGGTACTCTGCTCTGTCCCTTGTCTGTCAGGAGCCTCCTCTGTGGTTCCCCCAGAGGCCCTGTGCGTCTTCTCCCGTTTCTTCTCTCTTCAAAGCTTACCTCTCGTGGACAACTCTTTCATGGTTGTAATGGCTGACAATGTCTTAATCTTTAATCTTCTCACGGAAATCTCATCAGGGAGCTCCTAGGGTCATCATTTCTAAAGTGCAGCAGCTTTTGATGTGTTTTGACTTGAGAGGTCAAGAAACAAAAGCAGAGCTGCGCTTCTTGCAAAGGGCAGGTGGGCCTGCCTTCCCAGCGGCTGCCCCTTCCCCCTTTCTCCTCTTGTTTCTTGCGAGGGCCTCCACTCAGAGGGCACCCCACTAGCCAAAGTGACTGTAACGTAAGCCTTGGCAATCTCCTGCCCAAACCAGTCAAGAGGAGTCGGTGCTTTGGGCGTGTGGTAAGGGGAGACTTTTGGACCCTTTGCTCATGTCACGTCGTGTAGGTGACCCAGTGTTTGAACTAAGTACAGGGCTGGGCCTAATGAACACACACCTGTGTTTGTGTTCGTGCTCATGCTTCTTGTATTATTATCCTTTGGAGGAGCTGCACAGAGGTAGGAGTGACTGCTGTATGTGAACAGGATGCTGGGAGACCAGAAGTAGGGGGGACACCTTGGGTGCCATTGTTTCCGATGGCATGACATGGTGGGAAAGGTGAGTGGGTATTTCATCATTGACCAAATTAAAGAAAAAGTATACGTCTTTGCGTTTTAGCATTTCTGTGCTACACCTCTTAGGGGACTTTTCCATCCGGATGAAAATGTGTGCTCGGAAATGAGTCGGTCCTGAATCTTTTGGTTTGTACTGGCCTCAGCAGCAGCTGCCTGGTATCTTGCTGGCTTCTAGGTGAAAAGACCCTTTCACCTGAGCTCAGGAAGCTGCAAGAGGATGGGGACAGGAGAGATGAAGAAGTCCTCTTAACCCTTCTGCAGCCTGACTGCAGGAGGCTCTCGGAGCAGAGCTGAGGCCATGTGAAGGCACCTTCACTCTTCCTTTGCTGAGGCGGTCCACTAATGGAATGCCATTGGGAAACGTGTAAGATGAGAGATGCTTTCCCAGTGGGCCCTCTGTATGGGCCCCCTGGGAAATGTATGCTCAATCAGGACATACATTTTCACTTAAAAGTCCAGGTGAGGCCCATGCATGGCCGCTAGAGGATCCTCTTGGCTTTCTAATGCTTATCATTCACCTCTCTAAGCTACAAGCTCTCTGGATGGCCCTACGCTTGTCTCATTCCTGAGAAATCCTGTCTTTCCCCCTTTATATCCTTGTCTTCTGCACAACTGATGTGCAGACGCTGCCCAGCCCAGCAGTGTTGGGCATTTGTGATTCAATTTGCTCCACTCATTTCTTTTTTTTTTTTTAAACAACTTTTATTTATTTATTTGTTTTGAGGAAGATTAGCCCTGAGCTAACATCCGCTGCCAATCCTCCTCTTTTTGCTGAGGAAGACTGGCCCTGAGCTAACATCCGTGCCCATCTTCCTCTACTTTATATGTGGGACGCCTACCACAGCATGGCTTGCCAAGCGGTGCCATGTCTGCACCCGGGATCCGAACCGGCGAACCCCAGGCCGCCGAAGCGGAACGTGCGCACTTAACCGCTGCGCTGCTGGGCCGGCCCCTCCACTCATTTCTTATTTTGCTCTCCTGCCTCTATAGGGCAGTGAGCTACAGATCCCCTCCTCCAGCCCTGACTTGTAGGAGCGTTGAGACTTGAAATGCTCTTTAGAGGTCATTTTATTTAACTGCTAATCACTTTATTTTATAGAAGAGGAAACGGAGACCTCATGAGGTTAAGGTCACCCAAACATTTAAAGGTAGAACAGGGACTAGAACTCAGCCTCTTAATTTTTAAATCTGTCCTTAACTTGATTTCTCCTCTGCTGTGCCCCTCTCTCCTTCAAGGACCACTGCCTTTCCCCAGCACAGGGCCAACTCTAAACCTTAGCAAGAGGGCTTGCTTTGGACTCTGTGTTTTAGAGGATCCTGCGCTAGCTTTCCTCTAGCCACACCCCTCTCCAGGGGATGAGTAGTCAGCAGGACCAAGGAGTTGTGTCTATCCAGAGCTCTCACTCTCCCCCTTCTAGATCATTCCTTGGTACCTGGGATCCTGGAATTCCCTGCCTCAAGGGCCTTAGTCCATTTTCAAGGCCTGTGTGAATCTCTATGCCAAGTCTTTCTCCAAATGGTAGATCTGGCCACCAGTGGGCCACCCCTTAAGCTGATAGGGTGGCCAAAGATAGCTCTTTGTGAGGGCTG